ATTTATGTATATATATATATATATATATTTTTTCTTTTCTTTTCTCTCAGGGAAGTTTTATCATAGTGTTAATATAATGGTAATTGAACTGAGTGGAGTGCAATTTGGGCTGAAATCATACGCTTGATTTCAAATCGAACGAGTGCGCAGCGTGAGTTCGATTTGAAATCACAAGTATGATTTCAGACCAAAATTGCACTACACGAGGTTCAATTACAACTTTATTATATCCATTTTGAAATCGCCCAAATACAGGACTTGGTCAATTCAAATGTTTCACTGATGCAGTACTGAGCCGGTTTTAATTTTAAATAAAAAGCGGAACCGCAAAACGCTTTTACATCTTATTTTGTATGCAAAACAGAGAGACTTTAACGTCATGTGTCAAGAACTCAGTCAAGTGTAAAATGACGTGATTTAGAGCAAACAATGGTGCGATTTGGGAATAAATCGCACCAATTAGAGTCAATCAGATTACAGGGACCACCACTGATTTCAAAATGGATGTAATAAATCTCTAAACTTCCCTTTTCAAATTTTGTATATATAAATTGGAATAAACATGTATAAGGAATGTGGAAACTTTGTTACGGATAAATAGGATCGAAGTTTGAGTTTATTTCGTTATCATTTCCGTAGCTTCTCATCATACTGGAATTGGAAGCTCGATTATCTCGAGTGTTGGAGTACCTCACCCACTGAAAAACTACGTACATGAACGGAAATCTGATCTCCAGCTGGGTCGCGAAGGTCTGGGTACCAATTCACTTGCGAACTCACTGCCACGACAGTTTTCAGAAGATATAATGACTTCTGTTCAGCCACTTTTAACTTCTAGGTTTTAGTAGTCAGAAAAAATGATGTATGCTTTTGTTGATTCTTAGCCTTTGTTTGCAATTCCCAAAGGTAAGTTTTCTTATGAAAGGTAGTTTTACGTAGGAATAAGTCCAACTCCCTCTCCATTACAAACGTAAGGCATGCTCAAATGATTTTAATTTCGACTTTCCCACCCGTTACTCAATTAAAATTCTCCGAACCACACCCCCTCCCCCTCAGACGATAGATAAAGACCGGTCAATAGATTGGGTTCGACACTTGCTGCTTTTATAACTGAGTGTAAAACGTGCTGAAGATCTTTCTTGCAGAGTTTTTTTTCATAACGGAAAAAGCTTTGACTTTTATTGAACCGTAAGAGGTTTTCGTGTATTTTCCGGAACCATAGCTGTCATAGAATTCGAAAATATTGATTATGCAAAGTAATTTCCCACAAACAAAAAGGGCCTTTGACATCATTCGATCAGAACTAGGAAATTGCTCTAGTAAATAGAAGGGAAGATCCCTGTCCAATTCAAAGAATACTTCGTAAACGCAAATGCAAGATTATTTATAGAGACAAATCAGTTCTTGAGCCCATTGGGTTTGAAACGAACCCAAAGATCATGAAATGGCTTTGCTATTCCAAAAATTACGCGGAGGTTACCAATGATTAATGTACAGCATAGCCTTTTGTGCAGCATATTTGTGAACAAGAAAAAGGACTAGCTCTTAAATTATTCACTACTGTTTGTAATTGGCGCTTCAAAAAAAAGAGCTTTTTCTTAACGATACTTACGCCGCCGACAACTCTTACCTGGAGGCAGGTGATTTTTTCCGGAAGATTGCTTTAAGATACGTGGGCTTAATACTGTTTTCGATCTCCTAACAAATAAACTGAAACGAGAATATCTGTCATATACACTGCCTCTACATCATATGATACTGATATGGATTCTCAGAGGCTCCCGGACAGACAGGGCTTTTGATCCGCATCAGAAATAATTCTAAAATTGTTACTTTGTGTTCATCAATTTTCCCCCCGACGAAGTTAGAAACCCCTTGAAAAAAAGAAAACTGCTTCAAGAAGGCGCAATGTTGATCGACAAACAACAATTATCGCCAAGTGTCAGTTGAAGTAATCTGTTGGGATTAATATTCAATGGAAGAGAAGTAGATTTTAGCAAGCCGGAGATGAGTAAATTGAGTTTTGGATTCCTGGTACCTTTTTTTTTATTCATGATTTTGTTTTTCCATAGGCTGTCACATTAATTTCGACAGTAGGACACCCAAAATACATTTTCTAAATTGTTCAAGCTGCCTTGCACCTGCTCAAACCATGGTGTCAATCACGAACAGGCTTGTATTAGATTCCACTGGCCTTGTTTGTTCAGTTTTCCCGAATATATATTTTCAACTTGATTTATTAATAACAAGACTGATCATTTTTTCAGTGCTCACGTTAGCGCAATGATGAATAACACCTCTGCTACTTTAACGACATGTTTTTTCCTAGACACTACGTCTGAACCCTCGGAGCAGTTCGACTCGTTGATTCTTGCCTGCTTTGTTCTTCATTCTGTTTCATTTATTCCTGCAGCGCTTGGTAATGGCGTCGTGGCGATAACAACTTTAAAAACACCCTCGCTTCACAAGCCTTCTTTTTTGCTGCTGAGTTGCGCAGCGATGGCAGATTCACTCACTGGATTCCTCGCTCAACCGGTAGCAATGGCATCGTTCGCTGCTAAATTACGAAGACAATTTTCAACTGCTTGTCAGTTGGATGTCTTGAAGGAGTGCCTGGGTTGGTTGTTCAGTGGAATGTCCGTCAGCATTTTAGCTTTGCTGAGTGTTGAACGGTATCTTGTGCTTCGTTTAGGAACACGCCATCGTTCAGTGGTCACAGTCAAACGTGTTTTCATGGCGGTGACTAGTTTCTGGTTGTCGTTGGTAACATTGGAAATTCTTCGCTTCGTTAGTTTGGACAACAAGACATTTACAGCCATCCATGTTCCATTCATGTTTTTAAGCCTCGTGATTCTTACAGCGACTTACTATCAAATCCATCGTTATATAAAACAACAGAGTCTTAAGCTAACTCCGGCAGATAATCGACACGCTCAGAGCTTTGACCTTGCAAAGTACAAGAAAATCACTCTGGCTGTTCTCTACATTGTGTGTTTTTACTGGATTTTTTTTGCACCATTTGTGTGCGTTCTTGTGGCTTATCTCATTCTCGGTTTCTCCAAAACTGTAGAAGGAGCTTATTACATCACCACAACTCTTATTCTGGCAAATGCTGCTATAAACCCATTTTTGTATTGCTGGAAGTTGAGAGCTCTTAGGAAAGCCGTGTTGATAAATTTGAAATCGAGGCTCCACCTAGACTAAAATGAAAAAAAGAAAAAAAAAACGGAATTGCCTTTTTTTTCCTTTTTTTGAAATGATTCAACTTTATTGGAATTAGAAGTCTTAAAAATTAAAAGTCTTTAAAATTTCGTCAGCGGTTTAACCCATAAGGCGAAAGTCCGAACACAAGGTGTCAACATCATTTGTGATAATTAAGGTGTTCAGCTTGAGCCTGCCTTACATTCCTTAGGTCTGCGCTTAAGACTAGATTTTTTTCGCATATGTCCAGTTGCCACTTTTAATCGCATCTGCTCGAGATAGGGAAATTTATAATTGAGTGTTGAAGGTACCCTGACCAAAGCTTGATAAACCACCCCATGGTGAGGGGTCAAGAAAATCTCTCACCCTCAACCAATCAGATTCAAACAAAAGCCAGCCATGACTTGGTTGTCTGCGTTTCCCCTCGTTTTGGTTCGCCCACTTTGTTCACTTTTAGTTTTCATTGGCTTTTTGAATTGTTAACCTATCCCCTGATTGGCTGTGGCAATTCGAGTTAGGATTACGACACATTCCCGAGAAGTGCCCCTTCCAAGGATGCTTTTGAAGCAAATAAGAGACCTTATATATTCACTTACTCACCCACTCCATCTGATTTGCTCGTGAAGTTTGGTTATTAGTTTGTGAGAAATATGTTAAGTGCTGCCGAATTGGTACAGTCGTCGAGGAAGCGTATTTAAGAACTAATAAGCTTCCCTTAGATGCTATTCTTTGGACCACATTTGCTCGCTGCAATTAATAGCTGGTTCACTTCTTCACAGGTTCAGCCAGAGTTGCGTGGAATTGCACTCAATTGCAGTAAAGTAAATTCCAGCAAAAGTTTCCTATTCAAATGTAACAACTTCATGTCAATTCAATGTTTAACTGAGGATGATTCGTGTTACCGCAAAAGGTTTACGAGGGAATTATAGGCGAAACTGTGCAAGAAAAACTGTCCGTTGCCAAACCAAGAGTGCGTCTCAGTTGGGTGCAATCTCGCTTTCCTCACCTTATCAGCAACTCTTGTTGCGAAAAATAAACATCCCCAAAAAAAATGGACGGTGAGAAAGCCTTCGTATGAAAAAATAGAATAAAAGCTTTCTGCCAAGTTAACTATGGATTAAGCTGAAGGATGATGTTATTCAGTGAAAAACACAGGCTTACTTGGAAAAATTAACTTGGAGTCCTCCCACTAGGAGTCGAAACTACGACTTTCCTATTGGTACTAAGGATGCTAGTAGTAATAATCGCTCGTATGGTTTTAACCAATGCGGAGCCAGTATTCTGTACCATGTGACAGCTTTCAACCACTTAGATCACAGGATGGCGCTATTCGCCAACATCTGAAATGTCACGCAACGCTATGTCATCCCCATAACTACTGAGCAATAGGAGACTCCTGGTTGGCAGGGCTGTTTAACTAGATCCATGGTGACGAACTTCCTGCATACTGCTAGGACGGGGGTGTCGATATATGATGGTTCTGCAGTACGAAGATGTAAATGGGGTTGCCATTTTTTTTATTATTATTTAATTAGTCTAACAAAGGAAGAGAACCACTCGCTATTCACTGCAAAAATGATTTTAAAATTTTTCAGATAACATAGAAAATGTTTTCATTTATCATGCATAGGTAATAATCTTATTCAGTTGTTTATATGCTTCTATACATCACACCAATGTTATGTAAAACGCGAATTTCAGCTCACCAAGCCTCTATCATTTTTTATGCGAAAGTAAAGAAAACTTTACTTTCGAACACAACTTAAGCACGGGATCAGTCAAATCCCTGTTTGAAGAACTTGATTCCATTCCGTGAACCCAAAGGGTGGAAAATAGATCTCCCCCAGCGAAAAAATTATAATTACTTGGAATCGCGCTATTAAAAAAAAAATACTTGCAAACTTATCGACCGTGACTAAAATAAATAATTTTGCGCATTCTCGTACCTACAAATTTTTTTCCTTAGTTTAGTGAGCGTGTGGTTACAGCATTCTTTTGTGTTTAACTTTTTGTGTTACAACGCAATGGTATTTACCTTACGCTCCCATTTCTTTTTGTAAAAAAAAAATCTATTGAATTTCAATTGCGTTAGGAAACGAGAATGTTTAGAGCCTTTAGGAAGACTATTTCAACGCCAAAGCGGTAGCCATAAGACAGGCAAAAACTGTCAGCACCATTTTAGGTTTTACTTCAACCAGATCGTCGGGAAGGGCGTAGGTCGTGGCGCCAATCTTTCGGGCGACGCTCAAAGCGTATTTGGCATTTTCGTGTTTCTCCTAAGATACAAGACAGAAAGGGCACGACATTTAAATTAAAACAACTTACAAAATATTCATGAGAAAGGGTAAGACTGAATTACAGAGCCATTACACTAAACCAGGACCCAACTAGCCATTAGCTCGCGTTTAGCCACAACAATTCATCATAGTGCGTATTTTGTATTGTTTCAACCAATTACCTACCTCATCAGTTTCTCCTGCAGATACCATGTCATATTCTACAATTCCAGCCTTGATGGCGTCGACAAGATCCAGAACTGCCAGGCTGGTGCTGATTGTAGGATCTTGGAAGCTTGCGATGCTGCTCGTTTTGTTTGCTGCCTTTAACTAAAAATAATTTGTAGATAACTGGTAAATACCTCTACAGTACTGAAGAAGTTCGAGGCTCGTAGGATAAGATATGACCATACTTTTTCCCCCTTCGATTTATAACCCGAACTGGCTTGCGAGTACGCCCTCGCTTCGGCAAGAGCGTTCATTTGCGTTTTCTTGTATACGAGTCCACGAGAGGTCTACAAGGGATTTATCATCGAGTGCCAGACCCTTGGCAAATCTCTTCCTGACTTGTCTCCAATCTTCTCGCGGGCAAACAAAAGCGCGCCCGGCAGCGCTAACTATGAGGGGCTTGTCGTGAGCTGGACCCCAGGATAAAGTGTGTGAGATTGTATCTCAAAATTGTGAGAGAATGGTTTGGAAAAGGACTTCTCGTCACAAAGAACAGTTTCAAATGTCTGACGCGCTTTTAAAGCAGAACACTCAGTTGAGGTGTTCCCTCTTTTTCACTTACTTTATCATTCACCCATTCAACAATGTCTTTATCCTCGATCTTTTTCCCGTCTCCTGTCAACTTTGAAAGCAAGGCAAGGGTGTACGATCTCATCTGCTGCCACACAACGGCTATCAAAACAAAGCTTTTTGTCAACGTGAAACAAGACGAAAACTGAGACTAGGAGATTGACCTGAAATGGGTGAATATCAACTAACCTATGGAGCCAAAGTGGGATTTCTTTAGCATCTGAAAAGAAAGAGAGAAAGAGAGAAAGAGGGGGGGGGAGGGGAGTGGGGTTAAGAGACCTGAACAGCTTCTCTGTGTAAAAGTGAAGTAACAATGTACTGTGGTGGAATTTTCTTTTTTCTATTTTACTGAAAAACGTTCTTCTTCTTAATCATACTAAGAAAATGGTCTGAACACCGGGGTATCAGGTGATCGTGTAGTTTGATGGTCCGGGTGAGAGAGTCCTGAAAAACTGAGGTCTGTAGCAGACTGACGTTACGACAACTTCAGCTGAAGTCATCATCAAAGACAAGTTAATAAATGTTTGTTCTTCTGTTTCTTCCGCTGGAATACTCACACCAGCACGATCAGCATACACGGTCAATTTTTTTTTTCACGTGATTAAAAGAAAAAAAAAAAAATCAACAACATCAACAATAGTAGCCCTTGAAATACCATGAATACATCCTTACAACATTGAGGGATAATTCATGACAGACACGAGTAAGGGTGTGAATGAAAATTGGTTGGCAAATAAGACTTCCTTAATAAGGAGAAAGAAATGTCGCCCAACATTGTAGGCTATGCAGGAGGAAAAATTAAACAAGCTGTTATTTTTTTAAGTCTCCTTGTCCAAAAAACGGCTGAAATGCCCACGTTTTTATCAAGAGGACTTATATGGGAGATTGAACTGGGGCATCAGACAAAATCTACTTCAGCACGCTTCCTCTCATTGGCAAAAAAGCCTACATTAGGCTTCAAAAAGAATCAACATTCCTTTCCTTAGATACAGTCTTACCAAGAGTAAGAGTCTCATTGCAGTCATGGATATCCTGACCTCCAATTCCAACCAATGAAAACTTAAATGTCCTCCCAATTTCAACCGCATAGTTACAGTTTTCTATTTTCTTCATTTTCCCACCCATCTGTTTGAAAGGAGGGCGGTTCACTTTGTCCCAATTAACACTGCCTGGCTTCACAATATCATACAACTGAAAAGTGACAAAAGATAAACTGATTGCAGATCCATGCATAATACAGAGCAGTTTTCAATTAACTGTCAAAAGTAATCTGGGATGGCTTTGGTTTTAGTTTACACTGCTCTGTGATTGGTCCAGAAAAACTTGTGCTACTCTTTCAACCAATCAGATGTGAAACTTAAGCCAATCAATGGGCAGTAGTCCATTGTACAGTTGTGTGCTTGGTTGCCAAGCCTTTGCATAGGAGTGAGGCTAAGGGTGACCTTGTTGTGATACAACCTTTGCTGCTTTATAAATGTAAATAACTTTGTTATCATGCTAACTAAATACTGGTCTCAAAGACAATAGGTCACTTTCAGCCTCACTCCAAATCAAAGGCTTGGCAACTAAGTACACAACTGTAAAATGACCTGTTGGTTTGTTTTTACTTCAAATTATAATTGGTTCTTGAGGTTATTTTTCTTTATTCTGATCAACCGTTATGGTTCCTTTGATTTTGTTTTAATAATCCTCAATCAAAAATCCCTTTAATTGCAACTGTTCTTGTGTGGGTCATTAAGAGTGATGTTATCTTTTCTCAAGCACCACTTGCATACGGATGTCACGAAAACTAAGACCTAAGACCCGTCTTAGTTTTCGAGATTACGAAAACTATGACCCCCTAAAATCGAATCAGTCGAAATATAAAGTAAAATTGTAACCAAAACAGGTCTGATCTGTCAAATTATCTTCTGTCCGATCCTTTCCACCGAGTATTAGGTCAAATTTAATGGTAAATTTAGGGGTCTTAGTTTTCGTAATTACGAAAACTAAGACCCCCATCAAAGCATTCTGTAAAACGTCTACAAAGTCGAATTACGAACGTGGACATTAAATTAAGAACCCACAGAAAGCTCTATTCGATGAATCGAGCAAAAACACTGCTGTACTTGCAATATGGGAAAACGCTAAACTTGCTCACAAGTCGCGTTTTTGAGCGCGTAGCGCGACAGTGAGCGCGAAGCGCGAGGGAGCCGAGCCGCGCGAGCGAAAGCGGGTGCGGGTCCTACCACACCAGAACAGAAAACCAAGCGAACGACTTTGAAAAAGTCTAGGAAAGCGCTAACACCGATTTTATCTGTTTCCGAACAAAGGAGTTAATCACCGACACCGGAAATCGCGACCAAGTATTCCTTGCGACTCTCTAAGGTTTGTTCAATTCTCCAATTTGTCCTGGCCGTAGAAGCTAGTTAATTTGACCGATTCTGCCAGGGAAATTTTATTGTTCGGAGCTTGGACTTGTTAGGAGAGTTTCCTTGACAGTTGAATTTCACCCCATGTTGCGAAACCATTTGTGAAGACATCGGGGGGGTACTCGATATATTCCTGGGTGGGGAGGTGCGGCGCGGCCCCTCATACCCTGACCCTGTTTAAGACAAATATCGCTGATTTTCCTACCCTGTTTGAGACAGAATTTCGATTTTTGATACCCAGTTTAAGACATTTAATGTGCCTGGTATCAATGCCAAAATCAACGGAATTCAATATTAATTAAAATTAGAGCTTGTAAAAATTTTGCTGTTTATCTTCCAAGAAAAGATATCCTGTTTAAGACAAAAATTGATAAATGGATACCCTGATTAAGACAAAAAATGATAAATTCGATACCCTGTTTAAGACAAAAATCTCGAAAAACATACCCTGGCTGGCCGCACGTCCCCATTAAGCCCTTATAAGGGAGTACCCCCCCCTCCCCCCGAAGACATCGCGTTTTTTGTTCGCTTTTTTGTCACATTTCTTCGCTTCGTGATGTTGCAGTAACACGGGAAATCTAACCGGATTTATTATCGAATATGAGCCTTCTGTGGGTTCTTCATTTAATGACCAAGTGTGTGCTGTTCCACATTTATAACGCAACTTCAGTTTTCCGTTGTTACGTTACTCGTTGCGTTACTCCTTTAGATTTGTTTATACACGTGACCTTTCCTCGATTTTTTTATTGGTCAGCGCTCTTAGTTTATATCATGGACTGTACTAGCGCCACGAGGTAGTCAGAATTTTCACTCGCTAGTGTTGTAAAAGCTTTCTTTTTCACCAAAAAAACAATAAATATTGTCGGTAACACTGCTAGTGAATCGCTTCGGACACTCTCCAAAGCTCAGAACGCTTTCGAATTCATCTTTAAGCGAGATGGATCAGAACAACGTGCAATCCGCCAAAATCTAGCGCGTGCGCATAAGTTATTCAGCACTGTCACAGGTAACGCAATCTCGATCGGAGAGACAGGTAGAAAAACATCCATCTCCAATATGGAAAGCCAATTTTATGATTTAAAGGTTAAACAACAAAATTAAAGATCAATTGGGGTAAGGCATATTTTCAGTGTACAATTTTACGTAGGTAGTGTATGGCTTTCATCGTCTTTACAAAGCCACAATGCTAAAAATATATGTCTGCAAATTATTAGAAGAAGAGGATCTAGCTGATAACAGCACGCGTACGATTGTAGTTTTTGGTTGTTTTACGGATTATAGTCTTTGAAAGGTCGTAATTCGACTTTGTAGGCATTTTACAGACGGTTTGGTGGGGGTCGTAGTTTTCGGGATACGAAAACTAAGACCCCTAAATTTACCGTTAAATTTGACCTAAAACTCGGTGGAAAGGATCGGACAGGAGATAATTTGACATATGATACCTGTTTTGGTTATAATTTGACTTTATATTTCGACGGATTCGATTTTAGGGGGTCTTAGTTTTCATAATCTCGACAACTAAGACGGGTCCTAAGTCTTAGGTCTTCGTTTTCGAGGGTCTTCGTTTTCGAGGGTCTTGGTTTTCGTAACAACCCTTGCATACAAAGCAAGTATGATCAAGTGCATCAAAATAGCAGCTGAAGATGGATTGTTTCAACAAAATTTGAAAGACAAACAAGATAAACATACAGTAAACCTCAATACTTACCTGCAACAAAACTAATCCATTGCAAAGGTCTCTGTAAAGATTGTTCACATATGGATTAACACCAATGCTGTTCATCCAATTACGGAAGGCTGTAAATAAAACATGTTCAATCTTATAACCGCCATGATCCGATTGTTAACTCTCCTCTCTAGCTGCTATACATTTCCAAGCAAATTAGTTAACAGACTTTGCTGTTACATGTGTGTGCAGTGAAAATTGCAGAGGGAAAAGCTTTTGATTAAAATGTTATAAAACAAGATGAACAAATTGTGAAGTTGTTCACAGAACCAACCAGGAAACAATCAAAATATCTGGAAGTACAGATACACAAGTAAACAAGACACATAAAAGCAATAGCATGTACATGCCGTAGTTCTTANACCACACTCTGGTGAAAGTGAGTAAATCAAATCATTATCAACTTTCAAATCATACCCTTACATCAGTATCCGCTTGAAAAGAAACTCATAACCGAATATCAAATGACTTAACTTTGGGCATCAGAGCTGTCAATGAGGTCCAACAGCCCACTACACCTGCCAGCTGGTGTGCCATCTTTTGCCAATTGAATCAAAAATTATTTACACTTAAAACGTAATCAAACATCTTACCTTTGGTCGCACAAACTTTCGGCAACCAATTCTATCTGCCATTTGCAGCATCTTTTCAGCTCTCTTGTTATGATCTTTCTCCTGTAAGAGAATTAGGAAAAGAGTGAAAACAACAAAGCTTTTAATTAGTAATGCTCTTTTTATTGACAAGAAAATTCACAATTTATTTAAGTTATTAAACAATCACTTACACTCATTGGTCTGTTGTCAACAAAAACCTCAGGAGGGGTGATCTGTCTCAGCAAGACCGAGTAACATTCTGAATCCTACAAAGCAGAGGTGAAGTTTTGCGAGTAAGAGAAAGTCAAACATAACTCTTTCAAATTTTGTTGAAACAGGACTGGGTTGCTCAAAAGGGGTTAACATTAATCTAGGATTAGAGGTTAACTGTAGCTTTAATTGCTTAAATAAGTAGAGGAGCATATACACAAGAGAAAAATCCCTTTTCAGAGCTATAAAACCAATTATTACATCGCTCGCAGTACCCATGGGCAAGATAAAGCAAATCCTGTGTTCTGATTGGCTACCTGAGCAGGCAAGATGTGTCCATCTTGCCCAATCAGGATTGCCCACATTGCTCCAGTGCATGAAATATATTGAATTAGAACTACTTTCATAATTCTTGGATAATTTCGATGATGGAAATGCAAAAAGCGGCAGAAGATAGTGAAAAGAAAGAAAACAGAAACAACTCTTGTGAGTTTTGTTGTGCTTGAAGTAATCCAGCCATTCTTAATTCTTAAAGTGCTACTGCGACCAAAAATGCACCTTTTCTTTTCTCCTCAGAGGTTGAAAGTACTTACCCTAAGTAACAAATTTGCCAAATCTTAAGGCAAAACTCCATCGAGAAGTAATATTTTCCCTGTAGATTCACGATCTAAACGGCCGCCATTCTTGGAACTACAGAACTTCGCGCAAAGAAGTAGACACTGGGTCAAGAACGGAAGTGACGTCAATGACTCAACAAACATGGCTAATTTGGTATGCCGAGAGAGAGTTGTTTTTCTGGTTCCGCAGGAAAGAAGGATTAAAATTCGAAAGAATTGTTCCCCAGCTTTCTTTTGCGTATTTCTTGTAAAGGCATGCCTTCGCGACGTTGTCAAAGTGAGTTGATAACGTCACAACTAAAACTGCTGTAGTTATTTTTCATGGGCTCTCCAGTGTGTTATTCGAGCAATGGCGGAAGAATTTTAATGTCTTCACGGCACTGTTTTTAAGGAATAACATTGTCAAATTTGTGAAACTTACGCTTATTCTTATAGTTTAGGGTCTAAATGTGAAGTTAACACCAGAAAATTGGGAAAATAAAATGCAAAAATTTCGTCGCAAAATCCTTTATTTGCAATATAATAAATCCTTTATCAACCATAGTTATCAAAACAGCCGATAAGGGCGGCTCAGTCAGTTGTTTGGCGCACCAACCTCTACCAAAAAGAAGCTTTGTGGC